TCCATATCTGCACCAAAAGAATTTAAAGAGAATATTTGAGACCAAACCCCAGTCCACTTTAGATTTGGGGTATTTTACAAACACACACTGCTCTAAGCTGTGTGACATGATACTGAAATCTGAATGATTTCTTTTGATACTGGAGAAGGAGGAAATGCTTAAACTCAGTTCTTTAGGAACAGCCTTGGGGAGAGGAAGGACGGAGACCCTAACAGAGGATGCGGATGCTGTGAAGGGTATGGGAGGACAGACCGGTTCAATTTCCAAGATGATAATACCGTTCACCAGAATGCTTCCTAAGGATTAGTACGAGTGTCTGTGTTTAATAGGCCTTGGCTTCACTTCAGGGCGTTAGCTCACTCAGCGGGTTGTTAATCCCTCCAAAATGCCCAGTGCCGCCTCCTATATTTTTGCTTGATTATATTATCCCCAACAACGGCAGCTGGCAACGACCTTTCTTGTGTTTTGTTCATCAGCTGGACATCGTTTTTTGTTTTTTTGTTTGTCTTGCCTCCTTCCACTGGTCACAGTTTTTCCCTCTGCTGTACGAACTTCCTAGATGTTTTTTTTGACACCACGCTTTTCCTCTTGGAGAGTAAACAAACATTTTCAACTGAACTGTTGTTCCTTGTGCTTACCTGCAGGTTTCTTCATTAGGCCTTTTTACAAGATGATGCTGGGAAAACCGATAACCCTGAAAGACATGGAGTCGGTGGTAAGTGAGCCCCGTGAAAGGCTTATCAGTGTGTGTGTGTGTGCGCGGGCGTGTGTTTCAATTACGCGTGTTTCTTCTCTGGGGAAATTAGTTAGTGCTGCGATTTCCAGGAAGCTTCTCAATCTCAGACCCCAGGCTAGCACCGGGAGATTTGGGACAATCATTAGATTCTTATTCTCCCTTTTTAATGTGCCCTGGCTCTTCTTTGTCGTTTTTTGCCTATTAGCATAGCCTTTCATGAATCCCCAAAGGCAATTAAAATTGCATTGGGGTGGGGAGGGGACAATAATTGCAATATTTGTGGTGCTTCTTCATTCTGAATTGTCCAACTGGCACTTTTTTCAAGCAGTATTATTCCTTCGACATTTCTCTCCTGCAGGGGGGAAAAAATAAGCAAGCTGAGTTTTGCTGAACAAACTTAAGACTGGGGTTTTTTTTAACCTTCAGGACCGTGTTTAACCTTCAGGGACGTACACGTACACTCTATAGACCAACATCTACCTGTGATCCCCAGCCTGAAGGAAGTCCTCCCAGCCTCGACCAGGGCCAGAGCTTTTTCAGCTCTGTTCATCACCTCGTGGAACAGTCTCCCGAGTGAGATCCGGGCCCTGCGGGACCTAATGTAGTTCCGCAGGGCCTATAAAATGGAGATGTTCCACTAGGCCTATGATTGAGGCAGCAGGCACCTAGATTGTATTGTCTTCCCCTGCTCTGGTTTGCTTTTGCTTGCATTATTCCATCTGCATTGTTCTATCTGGCACTAACCTCATTTGCCCGCCCCCTCTCAGATTAGTTACATCTACCTGTACGCACACAGGGAGCCCTGGAGTAGAGGTATTATTGGCGCCATTGATAGTGGATTATCAGTCGTGTAAATTGTGATGTTGATTTTAAATTGTATTATGCTTCTTTTGTGCTCATGCTGTTGTAACCCGTCCTGAGCCTGCTCACAGGGGAGGGTGCGCTAAAAGCCCAGTAAAATAAAATTAAAAATAATGTAATTAATTGCCCATATCCACCTCAAGGGAGTGGCATGCACATTTAGGCCTGTGCGTGCTTATTTATTTCATTTACATTCTACCTTTCTTCCATCATGAAACCCAAGAGGGCATACATAGGACTCCCAGGAGGTCTTACGTCTGCGCATTGACCTTTAGCTTCAACAAGGTTGCATTGCAAGCCCTTTGGCCATCTTCGGTGTCCTGTATGTTCATATGCTCATCTTCGTAAGATGCAAACTTTAACAACATATTGCTTTGAATGGGTTGCTGTTACTTCATCAGTCGCTGGACTAGGCCTCAGCCGTTATGGGAGCCATCTGACAAAGCAGAATTCCAGAGGGATGGGAAAAGCACAACTGAAGCTGGTGTCTGTGTGTCTAGGACCAGCGTGATAATCAACAATGTTTCAATGGCTTGCGGGGAAACGACTGTAGTAACAGATAGCCATAACGCGTGGAGGCCACCCGTCATAATATTGCCACTGTGTTCTAGAACAGCATAACCCACATGCATTTAAATTCACGTTCCTGTTCTTGTAGGGGGAAATTGCCCACATCAAGAATTCTGTGCATTGTATGTCAGTCAATTGATAGCATCCTTACAAAATGGATGTAGTTCGATGAAATCAGTAAGGTACACAGTTACTGATTTTGCACTGTCAGCAATGTGTGGCTGTGAAACTTCCACCTTTTATCAGGATAGCTTGCCAGCTACACGTACACGTACACTCTATAGACCAACCAGCTAGAATGCATAGCTGTCTAACTAGCATGGTATTGGCTAATGTTCGGTGAGAACACCTTTCCAAACTGTCAAGGAAGTAGGTATGCCAGCCACCATGTGGAAACTTCAGATTACAGAGATCAGTTCCCTTGGAGAAAGAGGATACTTTGGAGGGTGGAATCTATAGCATTGTGCCCCACCAAGGTCCCTGTCGTCCCCAGGCTCCATCCTGAAATCTCCAGGAGTTTCCCAACCTGGATCTGGCAACCCTACCCCCCCATCCCCCATCAGTAGCTGCGGGGGGGGGGGAGGACACATGGCAATCACACGAGGAAGGAGTTCTTCCCAATCTTGTTAACTGGAAATGCCAGGGATTGAAATCCAAGTTTTCTGTGGCCAGGAAAGTTCTGTGTCTATATCAGAGTCCTCCTACCCTGTGGACATTAATGGATTCAGTCAGATATGTGCAGGACTGGGATTAATGTACATCAGTATTTTTATTCTGGCCATGTTAATTAGCGTACAGTTTAAGCCTTGCTCGTGTGGATTTTGACTTTTAAAAATTACACAATATGGCTAACGAAAGTGTGCACACTTTTTAAAAAATCCATAAGTGTCATAGGGTGACCACATATAACATCTTCACATCGTGTCAGCTGATCTCCTTATCACGAGTGACATTGCCCATTGATAACTCTTGATTAAAAAAAGCAACAACACCACTTTCTGTGCCAGTTGACATGTGACAGAAGCTTCAATCTACTGTACTGTGATAGATATTTGAAAAACCTGCCCCCCCAACCCCAGTGATCAGTAACCAAGCATTCCTCTTTGCCTGTCTATGAGAGATGTTGAAAATAACTGTATGCCAAGAACCACTGAGCCAAATGAAATTAAATGGAGTAAGACTGCATTGATATGCTGATGGCACTCAACTAAGGAGCTTTAATTAAGCCTCCAGATGTGGCTTCCTCCATCTGGAATCAGTGCCTCGGTGTGGGACTCAAATGGATGAGAGGGAACGGGCTAAAATGGAATCCAGACAAAACAAAGGTGATGCAGCTGGAGAAGGCTGATATTCTGGAAGGGACTGTCGTGGGTTTGGATGGGGTCTGGTTGACTGTTTCATGGATGGAAGAGCTTGGAGCCCAGCTTTACTCTTAGACAAGCGGCTGGGAGCAAGTCTCTTGGAATGCTTTATTTCATCTACCTTGAATCCCTACACTTCCTCTTTTCTAGACCCATAGTGCAATCCTAAGCAGAATCACACCCTTCTAAGCCCATTGATTTCATTGTGATCTATGGGGTAGGATAGGGCCTACCTCGAAAACAAGCTCAGTTGGTACAGAATGCAGCCACGTGCCCATCACTTGATGGGTGGCTCGTGGTTATTATACTTATTAGATATATTACGCCTGTTTTAAAACAAACTTCAGTGGCTTCCAGCTTGCTTCTGGGCTCAGTTCACATTGCTGGTTCTTACCTATGTAGCTCTTTCCAATTTGGCATCCACATGACTTGAAGAGCCTGTTTGAGCCAACTCACCAAATCAAGCCCGCTCTTCAGGCTTTGCTTACTGTGTCCCATTTTTCCCAAGTGCCAATATCTAAGGCCAAGGGGGGAATGTGCCTTTTTAATAGCTGCTTCAGGGTTATAGAATGGGCTGCCAAAGGGCATGCAAAATGTTCATTTGTTGCTAGCATTTTGCACAGCTTGCAGACTGCCATTTTCCCCCCATAGTGCCTTCTCCACTTGCTCATTCTCTTCTTCATGCTTGTCCCCGCTTGCTCATCTCCTCTTTCTGGCAAGGGCTGGGGCAGCAGGTAGGAAACAGAAGTCATGTCCTTTCAGTCACTGCTTCTTATTTCTCTCTTTGACTTGCACATCTACTGGGCAAGCGAAGCAAAAGCAGCCGTGCCGTGCCCTCCTTCTCCCTCTCTTCCCAGCCTTCCTGCCCTGGCAAGGGCCACAGCTGTGGAAGAAAGGCGAAAGCTGTGCAGCCTCTTCCTCATTCCAGCCACTGCCACTCCCTTTTTGTTCTGCAACAGCAATCCAAATCCTTTCTTTCCACCTTCTGACCTAGGGTTGCCAAGTCCATCTTCCACCCCCAGCGGGGGACTTTGGGGGCTTTCCTGGAGGGGGCGGGGCATCCCTGACGTGATGACGTCACGTTGGAGACGTCCGCCGGGGCCCCCCACCCGCCCGCATGCCAGATCTCCAGAAACGGCAGTTCCCTGCACTTAAAGGAGCCGGCGTTTTCCTTTTAAGTGCAGGAGCCGGCGTTTCCCCTTTAAGAGCAGCCGCGTTTCCTTTTTAAGTGCACGAAGCTGGCATTTCCCTGCAAGCCTGATCTCAAGTGGAGATCGGGCTTGGGAGGAAACACGGGTTCCACACACTTAAAGGGAGAGATAGGGGTGGCTGTGGATGTTGGGGGTGGGGCTTCCCCCACCGGCCACCTGGCCGGCGGCAGGTAGAACCCCCCCCCAATAAAAGCGGGGGACCCCTGGCAAACCGGGGGGGTTGGCAACCCTATTCCGACCCCACTTGTCGGCCCTCTTTACTGCCCATCCAGGTTTTTCTCTTTTTGTCGGCCTCTAGTACCTGCAGTGGCTCAGAGGTTAAGACGCTGAGTTGCAGACCGGAAGGTCGGTAGTTCAGCAGTTCAAGACCCGAGTCTCTGGCCCCAGCTCCTGCCAACCTAGCAGTTCAAAAGCAAGAAATTGCAAGTAGATAAATAGGTACCACTTCAGTGGGAAGGTAACAGCGTTCCATGTGCCTCGGCATCTAGTCGTGCCGGCCAAATGATCATGGAAATGTCCTCAGACAGCACTGGCTCTTCTGCTTGGAAACGGAGATGAGCACTGCACCCTAGAGACGGATTTGATTGGTTTTCTAGGAAGGGAAACCTTTACCTTTAGTACCTCTGCCCACCATTGCTTCCTGAGAACTGTTTCCTTTTATCAGCCCCTGCTCAGACAATCTTAACTCATTTGGGGGGTTTTATACCCTCATTGCCATTTTCCCTGTTTTTAAACAATTTTCTGGGAGGATCCTCCAAGTTTACAGAACAACCTCTTTCCTCTCTACATAGTCCCAATCCACAGATTTAAATAACCGCAGATGGTGCCTTGTTGAGAATTAGACATATCGATTAATTGCCGGTTGCTTTCTTGGGCGTATAGAGTGATTGTCTTTTATCAGCTTTTATCTGTGATTGGCTACGATCTCCCTCAAGCTTTGGATAATAATGCTGGATGTAATGTTTTGTTATGAATATTGTACTTTTGAAAAATGATTAACTGGAAGCAATGCTTTTACTGCAGGACAGTGAATATTACAACTCCTTGAAATGGATCTTGGAAAATGACCCTACTGAGCTGGATCTCATGTTCTGCATAGATGAAGAAAACTTTGGACAGGTATGTAGGAGTTATGCCAAAAGGCAGCTGGCAGAGTTCTAAGGCCTACATTGTGTCTACAACAACAGATTTTAAACCGTTTTGATCTATTCCAGTCATATATCAGCTGGCATACCAAGCCTTGGGACCAGCTCCTGAGGCTTTATTTGAGTAACAGTATTTTAGCTGGATGTGTGATTATATATACGTTACACAACAGCAAAGAAGTTTCCTGTAATACCCCGGTTCAGAACAGGTTTTTTAAAAAGAATGTTCTACTTTTTATTATTTAACAACAGGAAATAATACCGATGTCCGATTTTGTGCTGGAAACCATTATTCCGAAACACCACAAATAAAGTCCCGAAAGTGATTTTCTATCAGTTGAGTCTCCTAGGCTCGTACATAATGGACTCAGTTTTATTGAGAGCCGAGTCTCACATTCCATGAAAACATTAATTTTTCTATTCTCAAGAGCAAATGAAAAATCTTCATAATTTTCTTTGCCACTAATGAATTTTCAGACAGAGCTTTCACACCTTCACCTCTCAAAACACTGCACTCAGGGGTCCAGTACGCCCCCGGGAACAGGACCGGGCATGGGGGGGGGGAGGCTGCAGTGGAGGGCCAGGAATTGGCAGAAATCGCCCCACCCACTCCACCAGCAGAAATTCTCTTCCAACAACAGGAAAGGATTGCATAGAGCTCCTTATTAGTTCTACTCTATCCACAAAGGTTGTTTTAGAGGGCAGCCATGTCAGTCTGCAGTAGGACAGCTAAATTCTAGCCCAGTAGCACCTCAAAGTCCAACAAAATTTTCAGGATATGAGCTTTCGAGAGTCAAAGCTTCCTTCACCAGATCTTGAAAGCTCATACCCTGAAAATCTTGTTGGTCTCTGAGGTGCTATTGGACGCAAATCTAGCCATTTTATCTACAATATCCATTAAGTAAGACAAAGCGGTTCTGCGGGTATCCACATAACCACTCAGTCTTTCTGTATTCCTTAAAACTAACGAATATATGTTTTCAGTAGAAATAGGCATATCCTGTGTGACTTTCTAGTTGATTCATGAAACTCCGTTATACTGAGATGAACTAAGCTTGTGAGCATCCCACATTAGGGGAGAGGGGCAGGGAATCGCCATACAGATGTCGTGCCCGACTGTCTGTTGCAGCGACCTGACCATTGCCCACCCAGCAGCAATCACTTGATATGCCCCAGGCTAACACCTATTGCTTCTCCTCTGCACCCTGCTTGCTTCCCTTTGCACTGAGTAAAAAAGGGGGGGGCTTTGTGCAAAGCACCATGTGATCTTAAGGAAGTAATTTATTGGTCAAATCCTCCTTTAGTGAGAGGTTTGAAGATACACCTTAGATTGGACCCAAAAGAAACTCCCTGATTCAGAGAGACCCTTTGACAAAGGCTTGCTCCTTTCTGCCCCATACATCATTTTCTGTCGTTCTGTGGCACACTGTTTTGCCGAGCTCAGGGCCTGCCGTGGGAAAGGTTACTCGTGTCCAAGGAGAGAGATGCCTGCACTCTTGTAAATTGTTTCAGGTGACTGTGGCTGTTTTACGAGTATATGGATATGGTTGTAGTTGGCTGTGGGCATTTTGCCAGGATATTTTGTTTTACTAGGAATCTTTGCCATTAGACTCAAATGTCGTCTATTATCCATTAGCTAATATAGCTTTGTTTGACTAGGAGTCTTCGCTGTTAGATTCAAATATTAAAGGTAAAGGTTCCCTTGCTTGAAAGCCAGTCGAATCCGACTCTAGGGTTGCGGTGTTCATCTCCGTTTCAAAGCCGAAGAGCCAGCACTGTCCGAAGACATTTCCGTGGTCATGTGGCCGGCATGACTAAACACCAAGGCGCACGGAACGCTGTTACCTTCCCACCGAAGTGGTCCCTATTTATCTACTTGCAATTTCTTGCTTTCGAACTGCTAGGTTGGCAGGAGCTGGAACTAGAGACAGGCACACTCGGGTCCCGAACTGCTGAACTACTGACCTTCCACAGCCTGCAGTTCAGCGTCTTAACCACTTGAGCCACCGCAGCTCTAGAGTCAAATATTGCCATCACCGAAATGTTATACCCATATTTTGTAACCGGCTTCCTGATTGGCTGCGCAGTCCTCCTACCGTGCTCCTAATCCACCTTGAATCCCAGTAAGAAAGTTAGACTGTAAATGGAAATAAATTAAACAGTGGAAAGACAGAACACTCCTTTAATATTAAGGTTGTGATTTTACTTGCCCTGACCTGGCTGAACCAGACTAGCCCAGTCTCAGAAGCTACACAGGATTATCCCTGGTCGAGGGTCACTGTGCAGAGGTAGGCGATGGCAGACCACTTCTGCTTCTCTCTTGCCTCAAAAACCCCACCTGGGGTCACCATAAGTTGACTTAATGGCACATTCCACCACCAATTTTACTTGGATGGGAGATCGGGGTTTGGGGAATACATTTTAGAGGGTGCTTCTGCCACCAACACTACCATTTTGCCCTCACCCTGCTTCTGCCTGCCCATATTTGACCTGCACAGCTTGCTGCACTGTTTGAGGATGCCTGTAGGACTAGCAAGGAAGGGTGTTAGCTGCTTCAGCGGCTGGGCATGAGAGCCCCGGGGCCCATTGAGCCACCACTGGTTTATAGGATTCAGACAGAAACCACGGGCAGAAAGCACATGCACTTTTCAACGCCACATTTGCAAATGAGCTTGATAGACCTCAGACCAGTGTAAAAAGCTCAGCATAGATGTTCCCACAGACCAGTCGAGATTCTCAGAAAAAAAGTTTTCAAGGCCTAGTAGCCAGAACGATTGCTTGTTGCTAACAGCTACAGTAAAACTATTGGTAGGTCTGGAAAAGAGGCTATTGTGCAGTTCCTGTAAGGGAAACAAGAGTTGTGAGTGATGGGGGTGAATATGCGCTCAGCTTTAATCATGGGGGTCACAAAAGGTAAAAGAATCCGCCCAAATTCCAGTGTGCTTGGTACCTGCTGTAGCATCTCTTATCTGCTTCTGCTTTTGGTGCCTTTGTTCTGTAGATAACTAACGTTTCCAGAGCTTTCAAGAGGGCTGCGTTTCTTTCAAAGGATTCAGAGAACTAACTGCAGCAGTCTTAATAAACGGGGCCACGGGCACTTCTCTGAGGATTCTTTTAGCTCTGCAATAGATCTGTTAGATTCAGTGGAGACACAGATATTGAAAAGGGCACTTGAATACCCCAGTCCCTAGTGGGAGAACAACATCTAGACCTGACTTATTCTGTGCACAGTGATGGCACCTGAAGACACATGAAGACATGTGGCCGTATACTGATCAGACCATCGGTCCTTCAAAGTCAGTATTGTCTACTCAGACTGGCAGCGGCTCTCCAGGGTCTCAGGCTGAGTCTTTCACATCACCTTCAGCCTGATACGTTCAACTCGAGATGCCGGGGATTGAACCTGGGACCTTCTGCATGCAAAGAAGAGTCTCCTCCACTAAGCCACAGCCTCAGAACATTGGGCTAAATCCAGTCATCTTATTTGCTCAGCCTTCCCTGATTCTCCTTCTTATTACAGCCCGCATCCCAAATAACTTACGTCCGTGCTGGTCCTATGATCTACAGGATAGCCATTTTGGGTGTTCAAGAGGTTCTCTCGTCCCTTTGTCACCAGTGGAAATGCTGTTTGGCATCTAACCCATTGTGTTCTACCATGCTGTAGCTTATCTTATCTCTAGGCCAGTGGTGGCGAACCTATGGCACGGGTGCAAGAGGCGGCACTCAGAGCCCTCTCTGTGGGCACGCGTGCCATCGCCCCAGCCAGGCCCAGACCATCATTAAAGTGTCGAATTCTCTGCCAAATAATGTTAAGTAAATGAAAGCATTTGGGATTGCTTTCCTTACTTTGTTTGGATCCTCTTAAGTTAATGCATGAGTTGTTTTTTCTGAAGTAAAACCTCAGTATTCAGGTTAAATTGCCGTGTTGGCACTTTGTGATAAATAAGTGGGTTTGGGGTCACAGTTTGGGCACTCGGTCTCTAAAAGGTTCGCCATCGCTGCTCTAGGTCCTAGCTGCAGGGCTGAGCTGTAGGATTAATTGGACTATGAGGCCCCTGGTGTAAACGATGAAAATACACCGTTTATTTTAAGTAGGCTGCCGTGCTAGTTTTTGCCTTGACCTGAATGCCCCAGGCTGCCCTGATCTTGTCGGATCCCGGAAGCTAAGAAGGGCCAGCCCCGATTAGCATTTGGATGGGAGACCAGCAAGGAAGTCCAGGCTTGCTACGCAGAGGCAAGCCATGGCAAGCCACTTCCGTTTATCTGCCCCGACCTGTATGGCCCAGGCTAGCCTGGTCTCGTCAGATCTCAGAAACTCAGCTGGGTCAGCCCTGGTCAGTACTCAGAGGGGAGACCGCCAAGGAAGTCCAGATTTCCTGGACAGAGGCAGACAATGGAATGGCCAGCCACCCCTGTTCATTTCTCACCTTGAGAAGCCTACGGGACCGCCCTAAGTCAGCTGTGACTTGAGAGCACTGTCCACCACCATGCTGGCTTCAAGTGGCTTAGTTTGAGCTTTCCCCCATAATGGTTCGGAAAACCGGCAAATTCAAAATGCGCGCATTGTGTGGAGCGTGGCTTCGTCTTCCTAGAATTTTGTTTTTAATTGGGGTGGAGATTTTATACATTTAGAATCATGGCAGAAGTGCTATTTAGGATTCCGAAGACTAACAGAGCTCTCAGGGTTCGGGGGGGTTGCAAGGTTGCAGATGTACCACTAGATCCCGGATAAATGCATTGTTGCAGCAGTGCACCATATAGCACATTTATTTAAGAAAAGGCCTTTTAGCTGTAAAACCGATTGCTTAGTAGGACTGCCAATCGCTTGCTTAGGGTCCATAACCTGTGGTTGCATGATAGAGGATCTGCTGAAATTTCCCACCAAAAGTGGGGGAGAGACTGTAACACATAAACATGAAGACGGTTTATAAATGCCATCTGCTCCTCTCCTTCCTCATTACTTGCTGTTTTCCC